TCCCTGATTTAGGACATGAATATTTAGTCTCCAACAATGTCAGCTGGAAAAACTATCAAGTCTCATGCATCTATTGTTCTAAAAAATTTTTTAATTTAATTCACCAAATTTTGACAAAATTCAAAAGTAGTGACTGACCAATAATGACACATTTTACTTGCTCTGATTATGCCACAGGTAATACTCTTAGCCTGAGTCACAACAGGATAAAGATGATGCTGAACTGCTTTTCAATCATGAATAATACATAATAATATTTTTAATATTTGATTTGCTCTTTGAGTTTCATTTAAACTTTAGAAGTTCCATTCCTTGCAAAATTCCTATTGTTTTGAAATTTACACCAAGCAAAACGTGGATAGCTACAGTACCTTTCTATGAAGAATAGGAAAATAGGAGATACAAACAGATGATACTGAGAAGTGCTTCGAAGTCACAGCTCAGGTTTTACATGGACTAAAATATCAGCGTAGAAATCCTTTCTACATTAGAACACCACATTTTATTACTTACAGAGCACACCATTGATTCTGATACATCTAAAACAGCATCTTGCTGTATACAACTATCTATATTCTAGTCTCATACTTAGTCACAGTGCATTCTTGAACAACACAATATTAATTACAGTTCTGGGCTTCAAATACACGAGTTTCATTTATCATTTGGTTCAACTGCATGATTATGTACTTCTGGCTTAAAAGTACGGTAGAAAAGTACAACAATCTTTTTGTTGAAGCTGACCAAGCTTTAATTGTGAAAGGATCAATTCTAATGCTCATCTGGCAATCAAAGAAAACCAGAGGAAATGGGGGAAATATTTGATTATCTAAATAAACAATATTGTTACTTACCTTAGTTTAGATACCCTGACTATGTGAGAGAAATGCTGAAATATGAGTGCATTGCCTGCTAGGCTGAAGCTTTTCCTCTTTGTTTTCCTTCTTTTCATAAGAAAGGACCCTTAGGGTCAGGTCCTTGTCCCACTGAAGACAAAAGCAGAAGTCTTCACTGGGGTTCAGGAGTAGGACAGCTACTTTAAAACATTCTTCTTCCCTTTTTTATCTTTCTGTACGAGCTTTTGTTCCTAGAGGCTATGCTGATATGAAGCTTTTAAGATTTCTGGAGTCACAATAGAGTTGGAAGGCCTATGCTCCTAGTGAAGCATCGTGTTGTCATCTAGTTTATCTGAATTCACTGACCTCAATTTGACAGCATTACTTAAAAAAATATAAAGTACTGGATTAACTCTTGACTTAAAAAAACAAGGGTAGTTTTAAGAAACATATTTTTTGCCACTACAGGTACAACCTCTAATCCAAGTTGCATAACTGCCATTCATTTGCTCAGATTTCAGTTCCCACATTCATACCCAACTCTTCTGCTAAAAGAAATTTCCTACACATAAAAAGCTGGTCTTGGAAAACCATTATCCACTGCTGATACCAACATACGTCTCTTTGCATTTCCTGACCTACCTGTAAATAAGGCTTCTAAGAGACAACAGTTTTCATTGATCAGGATAGAAAACAACTATGGCACATATTCTAAAAGACATTTGTATATTGTTTCTTGCAGATGTTTAATAATCAAAGAAAATTAGTGTCTCAGAAATTTATTCACAGCTGGAAAATCTTCTACCTCGAGCGGTCTGTATGCATACACATGTAACACAGATGCCACAGATGAAATTATGGTAAACCATGTTTGGTGAGAGCCCTGTTTCCAAAGAGTGCGTGTCTCACTCACCTGTTTGACTAAGTTGAGATGTGCTTCTGCTCCTTCGAGACACTATGGCAACCACTTTGGCACTAAAGCTGGAACGCCTTTTCTTCCCACCTGTTCCAACCATGCCGACAGCCGTGTCCGACTGACTCCCGTCAATGTGCTCCAGCTTATACATCTCTCCGCTCACACTTGTGCTCTTAGTGATTCTCCCTGAAGTCCCCATCCGTCTGCCTTGCATTTTAGGAGTAAATGTACTACAGTTACAAAGTAAAAACAAACATGTTAATTTGTCTGTGTAACAGCATTTCCAAAAGCCTTTTTTTAAATTTTTAATCAGTAAATTAATTTTAAGTTTTGATACATTTCTATTTATTTGGCTCACAAGTAAAAGCTTAATTTGATGCTCCTCGGAGTACATATTTCCAATACTGTTGTTTGTTCTCCTTCTTTGAAGGAAATAAATAAACTTCCCCATGTTTTTCAGAGCAACAGAGAGACATTTAAAAGTTATGTGAAGCCTTCCTGTCTATATCCCCACAATACAGAAACTAAGCAGCAATTTTACAACCAAAGAAAATTAACATGGGCCAGTACTTTAACACGTGTCTTATCAGTACCGGTCCCCAAGCCTTAAGACATAACAGAAATTCGAAGACATCATCATCTAAATTTTAATACTTTTTACAGAGATAATGCAATATGTGGTATTTTTTAGGTCTTCAGTCTCTTACTTCATTAAAGTGCAATAATCACAGTATGAAGGCAAATAATTTTGAGGTAAAATCCCTAATAACCCACTAGAATTTTCATTGATTGACAGAAAAATGAATCATTCTGTCAGCTCGGTTCGAGTTCCTTTAGCTATTGAATTGCATTGGAATGTTTCTATACAAATCCTATTTCTGCTCCAGTGTTTGTATGCAGGATAAAGTGTTCAGAAATACGGTTTGGAGAAAAGTCTCAAATACACACAGAACCTACTAATACACAGTCCTAAGTCTGCTGCGACCAAGCAATGCCCTAGCTCTAATGGCAATATAAAGTTAGCTGTCATTCTGTAGGGACACAGAAATTTAAGTTCAGCTGGACTCCCTTCAGTTGCAGTTGTTAAATCAGCCAGGCATGTAGGAAATTCCTTGACCTTGTATTGCTGATTAGTAGACCTACTGGTAACATGCTATTTTAGGAATTTTTTTTTCAGTTTTTCACTATTTTGAAGTCAAATTTATTTGTTAACTAACAGTCCTGCTGTCTCTCACAGCAAGTTTCCTCCCCAGCAGATGCAATGACCTGCTCCTGTCCCCCATTCCCATCCACTCCTCACTACCTCTCCCCAGTCAAAATTAGAAAGAGTGGGGTTAGAGGCTTTTTTATGTCATGACAAGTTTCAGACAGATGGGAAATCAGGCCAGGGAAAAATGAAGGGATCAGTGGGAGAAAGGATGATATCCTGCAACTTCTATGGATCTGGGCCCTGCTGGAGTTTGAATCGGTCCTGTCCCAAGACAGATCCAGGAAAGTATAAAAAAAGTGTATTCCTAAACTATAATTAAAACAGTGTAGCCCTGCTTCACTGGCAGTTACCACGAGTTACTAATGTATGACCATAGGCAAGATCACATAAAAACAGACAGTATTCTTTGAAAATGAAGTTGGAAAAGTAAAGTCTTTGAACAGACAACACTTAATAGAAAGATCACTATCAACCTCTGCCTAGGTTTTTAACTATCCTCAGCACTTAGAATCTGTTCCTGTTAGGCACAGATAAAAAAACACCTATACCATCAAAAAGAACAAGCTGCTTGATGCACTGAAGTATTCAAGAACACATTTTATTGCTACCTACCTGAGGTACACTGAGCTTAAAATAGGTTATATCATGTTCCCTCCTATCCCAGAGAAACTTTATTTACTGGCTTTTGGGTTTGCAAGGCAAAAATGTAAGACATATGTATTTTAAAGTTTCTATATCGAATTCCTTTGTATTTTATCACCATTCTCCCCAGCACACTCTCACATAAATGTAAGCGCACACACAAACATGTTCAATCATTCCAGGAAGAATTTTAGCTGGGAAAAAAAACCCACAAAACTCGAAAAATACCATCTTCCCCACAGATATATATACAAGAACCAAAAAAAGGCCTCTAGGGTGATAGAAGACAACACTGTTAACTGGTTTCTTCTCTGGAGCAAGAGACACTTCGCTATCTCAAGGAGAGGGCAGAATCACACAGCTCTCATTTTGAAGGATCCTACTTCCTACTTGGACTAGACATGGATAACTCCTTTCCACACAGATAATTTCTTTCCAACAGCACATGGAATTGGATTTCAGTGCCTGTTTCTACGTTGCAAAGACTGGCCCCTACAAAGCTTTCTGTAGTAATTTTGTTCCCATTTTTGAGCCTTGGAGTCATAAATTCTGTCAATTCTTGAGTTTCTGCATCAATATGTCAGTAAGAGAGGGGAAAGAAACTGAAAATATTTCTTTTGAGAGCATCTGTTGATATTTCAACTATATTAACAGATGCTTTGCTGACATAATAATCTATAAATCTATCATTTCCAGCACTAAAGTTCAATGGACTATAAAATCTGACATGCAAATAAATAATTATTTACCATATTATTGAATTTGCTCTACTGAATTTCAGGTGTTTATGAATAAATACTAAAATCACGATGTTTTTATGCCAGCCATCACTTTTTTTTTTTTACAATTTACCTGAAATGCTCTAATCTCACTTTATTTATTATGCATTTTAGGAGGCAGTGATATCCATCAGCTGAGAAATAATAAAATATGGTATTGTAACTTTTGGGGAAAAAAAAACCATCTTTGATGTATGAGTTCACTAATTCAGGGAACACGGAAAGTTTCTAAGTAACAGCAAAATTGTTTTTTACAAAGAGTTATAAAAATTTCATTTTTGATTCTTTGCAATAGGTAGAGGAAACCAGAAGATTTAGCTTAATTAAATTTGTCTTAATTAAAAAAACAAAAACCAGAAAAATTTAGAATTCAAATTGTACTTGTTTTTACCTTGCAAATATGAAGTCCTACTTTCTTAGGAAATATGTTCTAGTGTACTAGAACAAAAAAGCTATTAATTTGCTAGAAATGGGCATAATGGCATAGGACCAAGGATCCTACAGCTGTCCAATACATTGTCCTGTCATAACAAAGCAAACAGATTAAGTTTTCCTTGCATTCATCTTATCCTTGTGCTAGTTTATTATTTTTCATTAACTGAAACAGTCCCAAAAGAATAGGCATTTAAAATTCAGCATTCTTATACCATCTAATTGAGTACCCTTAGAACACAATGTTTTACCATTACATTACTGATTATCACTTGAAGAAAAAGCTCCTAGATCATATTCTTGCTTTATTCAATACTGTTAGAGTTTAATTTATGAAGTACAAACAAGAAAAGGACCTGCACGAATATATCCTTTGCACTTAACTGTTTTGATAATAACATACCGAAATTTTATTTTTTCCAGACTTGCTGGTATTATTAACACATTTGTTTAAATGCAGATGCAAGTTTTTGAAGGCTTGTGGCTAAAATTGGTAAATTACCAAATTATATTTAAACTTAGTAATCATAACACAATAGATAAGCATTGTTTTCTGTAACAGGATAATGAAGAGTAACATATTTATTAGTCTAGTCCATTTAGTCATAAATTAATTAATTCACTACATTTTTATTTACAATTATTTTATGATCTTTAGCATTTCTTCTGAAGAATAGCTTTGAAAGCGTCTTATGTTATTTCTAGTTACAGTCATAACAACATAATTGATATGCATATTAAGAATGGTTACAGACAATCTGGGCCTGTGTATTATTTCACAGATATTCACCATAGAAAAAGAGAAATTGGATTTTTAACTTCTTTTTTTTTTTAATTAACTTCTAAAGAAAACTTCCCTCTAAGCCTAGCAAGAGCAGAGGAGCTTCCCCAGCACTGGGGTCAGACACTACCACCAGGTTCCTGCATCAGCAGGGAAGACACTGCTCCCTCTACCAAGAGAAAAATGCTTATATTTCTTGCCAAAACCTATGCAGTTGAGACAGATCCCATCTAAAGTTGCATCTGAAGGCAACATCAAGACTGTATTCACATGACAGCCATCAGAGTTCTGAAAGAAAGCAACACATTCGGTTTTGTAAGCTGCCCCTACCTGAAAGTTCTATCTGTGGGAACGAAGAATGAGGTATTAAGAGAAAAGAAGTTAATGAAAAAGTAGTTTGAGTTACAAGCTAGCATAAAAACCAGCCCTGAAACAAATTCTATAAGATAAGCATTCTACAAGAGCATTGTGGATTATACTTGCTTATATTAAAGTACAGCACACACAACTATATAGAACTGAAATCAAGCCAAGTACCTGTATTAAATCATTATCTATCTTTTTATGTACAGATAACTACTATATATGTATTCAAGATCCATAAAAGCATACTGGAAAAATCATTTGATTTGAGAAAATTGGTATATAGATATACACTCAGTATCTCTCAGTAATTACATAAAATACCTGCACATTCCACCTGAAAAAGATAGTAAGACAGTGGTAAGAAAGCTAGAAAAATACTTGTCCATAAACTCACCTATCTGGAAGTATATCCTTTCACAGAAAAAATCTGAAATGATCAGCCATTGCTAAAATGACAGCATTTCCTTCATTCTCTTAGAATTACTGATGATGTATAAAAAAATACTTTAGGTTTTTATTTTCATGAGCCCTCATTTTTACTCCACCCACTTTCCCCATGCAAGCCATGAGTAAATAAATGATGCCCTGTATTCCTTGCTGTGTAGATAATGTTTTAAGTTCTTTGCAGACAGTTGCAGCCACTTGAATCTTTCAGCAGAATCCCTGGCCCCCAGCAGCACAAACCACTGCACTTCCCCTCTCTCCTGCCAAATGCAGCATCACGTACTAACTCATAGCCCCTGTGGCACCCTTTTGCAATGAGGTAGCTCATGAATACTAATAATCTCCTAAACACATAAGAGCTCTGGACCAAAGGGAAGACACTTTTATAATGAGAAACATTGCATTTCTAAAAATAAGTGTCTTGTTATTAGTATTATATGATATATAATCAATAAATACGAACAATTACTTATATACAGATTTTTCATTCTAAGAAAATATTTATATTTTATATTATGCATGATATATAACATTTGCTGCAAGATAAATTACTGTAAATTTGAAAATAAATGTTTA